TCAATAGCACCAAGTTTTTGGCTGTGTTGCAAGGAATCACCCAGCTGTGGCTGTTTGTTGCTGTCATTTTTTTCCCCTTGCTCAGGAAAACTTCATAAATATGTTTCCAAGACAGCAAGACGGAAAAAGTTGTTGTTCATTTGTGGAAGCCATTGAAAGAGCCAGCAGCTAGGAGAATATAGAGTAGGGTCTGAGATACAGGGGAAGAACTCGGACATGTTCCCATTCTTGGAGTTACGTGTTGTGACGGGAAGAAGTGATATCCAGCCCTGGCTCCACCATTGCTGTGTGATTCAGAACTGTTCATTCATTCACTCAGCATCTCCTGAGCAGCTACTCTTGTCTCACACACTGTGTTCAGCTCTGGGAACTCACAGTGAGGAATAGATAAAGAATATGTTCTCAATCACATAACTCCTCAAAATAGCATGTCTTTATGTTTGCCAAGTGAGGAAGGCACTAACTGCAATGAGTTAGGGTCCTCTGCCTCTCATTCCTGATCCTTTACTTTTCTATGGGAGAAAGTTGTGCCCAAAAGAACAAGAGGAAAAGTGGATCCAACGTTACATGGCCATACTGTGTGCTGGCCATTCTTATACACATTGCCTCATTTTATTGTCTCAAGGATTTCTCTAAAAATTATGCTATGCTAGTGCTTTGGCAGCACATATACTAAGAATTATACTATGCTCATTTTACAGCTCAGAAAACTGAGAGTAAGAGAGGCTGCCCTGCCTTTGTTAAAAGCGAGAAAGAGACAGAGCTAGACGCAAACCCTGCTCTGCTGACTCTGGACTAGCACTCCTCCCTCCTCCTCTCTCCCCATGTTTGTACATGTTCACCATCTCCCCTGGAGTTTTATTAGGAGCACTTATGGAAAATGTATTTAAGATCCCTTGCCAGTACAGTGCAAAATCCCTCATTCTTATTTCTAGCTTTCCCCACCTCCTTACCAACTAAACTTCTTATTGTCACCTAAAGATGGCTTTGCCACTTCAGCCATGGCCAACACCCTTGTGGCTTTGCCTCTGCTGTGTTTATCTTCAGCTTGGAATCATACTTAATCTTGCCTGTGGTCATATTCTATACTCTTTCTTAGACTTTGTCTTACTCCTAAATCTAATTCATTCAGCTCTTTCAACACAACAGAAAGTTTTAAAAAGAGTATATGATCATCTCTTGGGAGGAAATAAGACATGCACAGCTTATATGAAAGAGTGAAGGGCCATTTGTTTGTTGGTATTTTCCTGCAAGGAGAGGTCTATAGCAGGAGGTGATTTTGCTGCCTTTCCCCCAAGGATGCCATTGTCTGTTTCTCTTTTTCTGGGTATACATTGTCATTGAAGAAGGTCCACAAAACACAGAGACTGTCCCTGTTCAGAAATGGTCACTGTTAACCTTTTGGTGTTTGGTAGTTCTTTATGCTACAATTAATTCCATGCTATGGTTAATTTAATTGTCAGGTTGTTTTATCCAAAGTAAACCATTAGGACAGTACCCACATCGTTTTGCAGTTTCACTGGCCTGGGTGCCGTTATTTAGTCAAGCAACAGTCTAGGCGCTGCTGTCAAGGTGGCTCCCTTCCATCCTCCTCCTCACCCTCCACTCCCCCCACCACCCCACTCATCTTCCTCCTCCTCCCCTCCTTTTCCCCTTCTTCTCCTCCAACAATGTGCATGGACTTGAACCAGTGAGTTACTCCGTAAGAGTAAAGACTGAAGTTTCCCAAAATAGAAGCAATTCTGCCTCAAGACTGAAGAGTAGAAACCTGTCTTTAAGTTTCTAGTCTGCAAACTTATGATTCAATACAACATCAACTCTTTCCTGACTTTGTAGCTTCCTGCCTACAAATTTCAGATTTGCCAGCCCTCAGAATCACACAAACTGATTCCTTGAAATAAATCTGAATCTACATAATCCTGTGACTTCCCTTTCTCTGAATACCCTAAGATACCTTCTCCCTGCTGCCCATTTCCTCTGGCTTAGCCCTTCTCAAGCTGTCAGGTGCATGTGGATCATCTGAGGAGCTTGTTCAGGCACAGCTGCCAAGTTGGTAGATGGTGGGCTGAAAGTCTGCATGTCCACCCAGGTCCCCAGAAATGCTCATGCAAGGTTTTAGGTAACCAACTTCAGAACTATATTATGATCTCAGTTATTCTCCTAAAACATTTGTATTAACTGTATTACACTCCATCAAATGGATCACCATAGTTTAGTTAACCCATTTCCAATTGCTCTAGTATTAGTTTGGTGTCAGTTTTTCACTATTATGTAGTGCTACCTAATGGTGTCCTGGTCAATAATGGACTACATAAGACGGTGTCCCATAAGATCATATTGTCTAGAGATGCTATAGCTTAGTTTGTAAAAGAATTCTATGATAGTCACACAGTGACACACCCCTAAAGACACATTGCTCAGAATGCATCCCATCATTAAGCCAGGCATGTCTTTATCCCTCTACATAAATAATAGTGTGGAACTCTATTTCCTCCAGATAATTTTGTCAAAGAAGAATTCTTGGGTCAAAGTGGAGACATTGCTTGGGCTTCAGAAACATCTCAAAGGTTCTTTAGGAAAATTGCTTGTGTTGTAGGCATCTCCCCAGCAGCAGTATCTACTTAATAATCAGGGTTCTCTGAATCCATTTATACATTTCCTCATTAATTCATGGGATGATATTACTTGATTCATCTATGTAGTTGATGCCATAGGCATCCTGCTGGGAGCTGGGGTAGGGGGAAGTTCTGTTTAATAACTAATACATTAATTTAATTTTTATAGTGATAATTACATGGTGCTCTAAGTGTATAACAAGAACCTGGTCTAATCTAAGGGTAGGGATACTTCCTAAGGAAGTGACATTTGAGATGAGCTCTGTTGGGTCTGAGGATTTGTCACTCACTTCCCTAACTTTTTGCAACATTCTGATGATGGAACCTTGCCAGTCACCTGTGGTGAGAGACGAAACACATGAAGAGGTCTCCCAAGAGGGCCATTATAGCTGCTGCCTCACGTTCTCCCCTCTGTGCTGTTGTGGAGATGATGATTCAGGGCAGTTCCCCTTTCTGTCTGCTCCTCAGTGGGGTTGAAGCTTTCCATTACCCACACTGAACACCATCTGATTTCCTATCTAGCTCCATTTGTTACAGAAGATGGAACCTAAATAGCAAGTTATTTAAAGGTAATTTATCAGAGGCAAATAGTTTGATCTTTGGATCAGTCATTATTTCAAACACCCTCCCCCAATACTGCTGCTTCTTTTAGTGTGGATAGTGATAGCTGAAAAGAAAGGAATTGGTTACAAAGCTATAATATTCAAAAGAATGTGATACTGGCATTAGGATAGACATATAGACCAAAGGACTAGAACTGAGAATACAGAAATTCATATATTTATGGTCAATTGATATTTGACAAGAGTTCCAAGGCCATATCATGGGTAAAAGAATACTCTCTCCAATAATGATGCTTGGACAGCTGTAAAAGTTGGACATGCTGAAAAAGTGAAGTTAGACCACTACCTCACACCAATACGAAAATTAATAAAAAGTGGACCAATAACTTAAATGTAAGAGCTAAAATGATAAAATTCTTAGAAAGAAACATTGCAGGTAAACTTCATGACTTTGGGTTTGGCATTGCATTCTTAGTTATGACACCAAAAGTATAAATAATAAAATAGATAAAATTTTATTAAAATTAAAACTTCTGTGCATAATGGACACTTTTTAAAATTAGAAGACCAATATATAAAATGGGAAAAATAACTCCAAATTATTTATCTGAAAGAATATAGTGTCCTGAATATATAAAGAATTCTTACCACTCAACAATAAAAAAGGCAATCCAATTAAAAAATCTACAAAAGATCTAAATAGAATTCTCCAAAGAAGGTATAGAAATGCCAACAAGCATATGAAAAGATGGTCAATATAATTAGTCACCGAAGACATGCAAATCAAAGCAATGAAGTATAAATTCAAACCTACTAGGAAATTTTTGAAAAAAAAGAAAAAGTGTTAGCAAAGATATGGTGAAATTGGAAGCTTCCAAGTGGAATTGTAGAAATTGGACAGTTGGTGAGAATGTAAAATGGTGCAGCCACCGTGGAAAATATTTTTGCAGTTCCTTTAAAAGTTAAACTTAGAATTACCATAAAATCCAGCAATTCCACTCCTAGGTGTATACCCCAAGGAACTGAAAACAGTACTCAAGCAAATAGAGGTACATACATGTTCACAGCAGCTATTCAAAATATGCAAAAGATGGAAACAATCCAGATGTCTGTCAACAGATAAACAAAATGAGTCATCAGATAGAGCCAAATAAATTTGACCTTCAGTTGGAAATTGTCAGATATAGACTCTATATCCATAGAATAGGATATTATAAAAAGGAATAATGCCATAAAGAGGAATGAGGTGCTAATACATCCTGTAACTGGATAGGCCTTTAAAAATGATGCTAAAGGCCACATGTATACTTTCATTTATGTGAAATGTTCAGAGTCAGAACACAAATTAGTGATGCCAGGCACTGAAAAGAGGGGAGGATGAGGTGTGGCTGCTTAATGGGTAGAGTTTCTTTTTGTCTTGATGAAATTGTTTTGGAACCAGATTCAGGTGGAAGTTGCACGACATTGTGAATAGTTAAATGGCTTATCTAAGTGGTTCGTGTTATGTAAATCTCACCTCATTAAAACATAAAATGATAGGGCTCAGAATTTAGCTCGGTGGTTCTGCCACCTGCTTTGTAAGTGCAAGGTCTGGAGTTCGATCCCCAGTACCAAAAAAAAAAAAAAAACAACCTAAAATGATCACAACAACAAAAAAATCAAGACTGTGTTCTTTCTTCCTCTCTACTGTTTGCCATATTTGATGGTTTCAACCTTAAAACAACAAAATCATGACACATCAAGTTTTTCACTACTTGAGGTTTTGTTAGCAGTCATGTCAAATGAGTTCTCCCATGATTTTCACTCACTCTGTACAATTTAGATTTCAGTCCAAGGCTTCAGGAACATTGTGAACAGCTGCACTGGAATCATCCACATGACCATGAATGACATGCCCACCCTGACGGACAACTGTGTGAAAGTAGGTAGCTGGGAAGTGGATTTTTTCCTCAGTCCAATTACATGAGCATATATTCTAATGGCTTGAATTATTGAAAAGTATGAATCGGTCTTTCATTTTAATTAATAGTAAGAAAATCATATAAAGGCTTACATGTGTGTGCACGCATGTGCGCGCACACACACACACCTGCAAAAACAGTTGAACATTCCAATCCTTAAATACTCTAAATAACTCCTTGTTCCATGGTTAGGATATTTTTGTCTCAGCAGCATGATAGTCTAAGCACAGAATTTAAATTTAACTCTCCCAACCAAGAACTGACCAGCCCCAATCGTGATTAGCTTAAATTTAATTCTCTATGCCAAGCTGCCAAATGTAGTGATTTTTTTCAGCATTCCATCTTTTCATGTTTTCCAATTCTCCTGTAACACAATTTAATTCTGATTCCACCGCATTACTCACATGTGAGTTTATTACACTATATTGAAAAAAAATTTTTTTCAAAATCAGGAACATTTAATGGTTAATGTGTCTGTTTCTGTAAATATTGAGAGGGAAAAATGGCTTCATTACCTTGCTAAACTTGTTCTATGCAGCATGGTTAATTTAATTATCTTTTCTTCCAAAGGCTTTAGTGGAGAAGTGCCAATGTATTACATCAGTGGTTTTCATTGGTTCACCACATATCTCTGATTGTACTTTCGACCCTCTTTCTGTGTGTAGCCTCAGGAAGATACGATTTGAAGGTCTGTGATATTAAAAATGTGGTTCAGTTTTATTTTGTTTTACTTTGCTTCTGTGGCATTACAAATGCAGTACTTGTGTCCTTTTAAACAGGAAATAAAAGGATCACTGATGCATCTTTCAAATTTATAGACAAGAATTATCCAAATATCAATCACATCTACATGGCCGACTGCAAGGGAATAACAGATGGTAGCCTCAAGTCACTTTCGCCTTTGAAGCAACTGACTGTGTTGAATTTGGCAAACTGTGTAAGGTAAAAAGCCATTTAGTCACACATTCAAGCAATATTGCATATCAAGGATGCACCAGGCCCTCTTGTCAAGGAACTCATGGCTAGTGGGTTAATAGGAAGGTTGGTGGAGGTAAGTGCAGAGTTCTGTAGTAACAAGAAGGAGAGGAACCTGACCTTCCCGTCATATTCAGCCAAACTCTGTGGTAATGTGAAGGACGAGCTGGTAATGGGGAGACACAGGAAAAGCTCGGGATGAAGAATTGCGGACTCCTGTAAAATGAAGCGAACTTATGGGCTACCTTTCTAAGTGAGGGTTCCCACAGGTAGTTAGTTCAGTTAGCAGGTTCTTTCCCAAATGGACTTTCTGACTTGAGGAACCAGTCTAACTGTGGGGTTTCTTCTTTGGTACAGATTTCTTCTCTGTGTGGATTTTTAAACAATTGGGCAAATGACAAGTTCTCACTGAATCTCTTTTCAGGTGGGCCAGTGGTATTGGGCTACTATCTTGGTATTCTCAAGTGAGCAAAGATCAAATTCCTGCTTAAAATCTCTTCTTCAGTGGGTAGCTCAGCCTCTTGCTTGTGTAGATATCTTATACTCTTATAGGACCAGATGATAACAAGTAGCATTTGATCTGTAATGAAGGTGGCTAATATTTGGGAAAACATAAGACAAGTCAGAGTTATAACCTAAGCTACACAGTGTTATCCATGGTCCCATGATTACAGTAGGAAGGCAGCATGGTGGGGAGGTAGTTGGGAGAGACATAGGGGTTTGGAATGGGAAAAACCTGAATTAGGAAATGAGGCCTGCAGCCTATGGCCAGTGAAGAACTGAAGCCTCAGACCTTCCAGACTCAGCCAAGCCTTCAGATACCTGAAGCCTCACCTGGCATCTTGACTGCAAGCTCCAGAAACACCCTCACCTAGAACCACCCAGCTGGTCCACATCCAATTCCCAAGATCCAAAAACTGGGAGATGCAGGGAAAAACTTTTGCCACTTATGACACCAAGATTGTGTCGATGTGTGACATAGTGTTAGATTACAGAGATCCACACGTGTGTGTACATCTATGTCTTTCATCCTGTCTATACAAATGTGTGAAATAAAATGGAACTTCATTCTTGTATTTTACTCAAGGTATGCAAATTAATTTTAAATTCAATGGAAATTTCCTGTTTCCAGAAGTATAGTTGACAAAAAACTTCAAAGGACTCTTTGCAACAATTTAGACCCTTGAGGAAATATACTGTCAGTACATTGCTGAGCCCACTCCAAAAATAATTAGAAATAAATGTCCCAGTGGAAGACAGGGAGAGCACGGGTGGAACAGGTCTCCAGGTATTTATAAAGCAGGATGAATGTAGCAGCTCACACTGCCTCTCCTTAGGACTCTGTGGAAGACTGAGCCCAAGTCTTCCCCCAGCATCAGGTTTTCTGCGGTTCAGGCAAGGATCTGTAGGTCACCTATTGGTTTCAATCCAGCTGAATTGACCTTGTATGTAGCAGAATTTTCTTTAAGATCCTAGCAGTTGTTTGGCTGTCTGTCTTTGTTTCTGTGTCCTAAATTCTGGCCTTTTTTCTTTTTGTAGGAGATCATATCAGGGATTGCTTAACTTCATCACATTTTAACCTGGGAGAAGAAGCCATCTGTGTTATTAAGAATTATGCTTACTTAATTAAATGAACAAATGAACACAAATAACATTTTTATTAATATTTCTCCCATTACTATCATTTATACATTTTCTTATTAAAACCTACACGATCAAATTTGATTTTAAATGTCAACAAAACTCCTGAATATAGATATTATTTGATATTTTGCAAATATATTAGGTATAAAAACTGTCATTGTAATGTCATCCTATATATTCATATATGGCATCACATATGAAGCTTTTCTCTTTTCTTCAGGATTGGTGATACAGGACTAAAGCAATTTCTCGATGGTCCTTCAAGTATCAAGATAAGAGAGCTCAATTTAAGTAACTGTGTGCATCTGAGTGACGTCTCTCTTGTGAAACTCTCAGAGCGGTATGACAAAACAATTTTCTTCCTCATAGCATTAGTACTTGTATATTTGCTAATAGGATCGATCAGAGATGGTCCTCAATGCAAAGACTCCAAGCCATTTGGAGAATACTGGGGGTGCCCAGGAGCTGGTGCAGTCCTCAATGGAATCAAATCAAAGACAGTGAAATCATGGATTGTCTCTTTTGGTTATATCTGAGCCATTTTCTTACTGTCATCTAAAAGAAATTTGAAACGGAGTCATTCATGAAGTAATAAAAATCTAGATATGGTTGACTTCTTTGAACTTTTCAAGGATATTGTCTCTGTGGAAACCTTAACTCCAGTGTTTCTCAAGAGGTGTTCTGGCTGGTTGGTTTATTCCTGATCTCTCTCACTTGTCAGAGGCCTTGTGTTCATTAAGGGTCAAATTCAATTCCTGCAGCAAATGTATAAGGGATAAGCATGGAACTTCCCCTTGCACTCTTCAGTGGTTGTTCGTCATGGTGTATATGTGATAGTGTTTTGTAGGCCTGTGATATGTGTGCATGTAACATATTAGAAACTGCAATCTGAAACTAAATCAAAGAAAATCTTATATAATACTCTACTTTCATCCAACTTTAGAATGCCAAATTATTTTCTACTTTTAGCTTACACTTATGTTGAAAAAAGGAAAATCTTTGCTTTAAGATCATTCATTTTCTCCCAGATACTTTTTATACAAAAAAGTTGGTAATGATGATATGATTGAAAGCTGAAATTAATTCTTTATGTTTCTTTCTTTCAGCTGCTCAAATTTAAACTACTTGAGTTTACGAAATTGTGAACATTTGACTGACCAAGGAATTGAATGTATTGTAAACCTCTCTTCCATGGTATCGCTAGATCTCTCTGGAACAGTCATTTCTAATAAGGTAAAAAAAAAAGTAATCAAAACAGTTCAAGGGCTTTTATTGTTTTTCATAATATAATAATTTTCTGATTAGTAAACAATAAAGAGAACAATAATTAGTTTTATTCCTTAAATTATTAGATTATAAATGGCAAATTTAGGATATTATTCTAGAATAGTGATATGTGAGGCTGTTTGTAAATCAAGTCTTGTTTCTCTGTTTAAAAAATAGCAAACTGAAGTGTTTTTCAGATCAAAGTATTACATGATAATCTGAAATTTGTTTCATCATAGAAGTTTGATTAGTGTCGAGATACATATTTTAGATAGCTTCCTATGGCTTGTTCATTCTGCAAATGAGTGCCTTGAGATCTAAGCTTTTAGTTGAAGACTGAATTTAGAAATGGCCTCATAAAATCTACAAAAGTGTGCATTTGAAGGACCCGTATAAGCTGCTGATACTGCACTTCGGAGCTGAAACCCGGGATACATTCATCCTACTACTGTAGCACTGCCTGCTTTACTAATCCAAGGGAGGGGAGGTCATGAGTTGGCCATGTTTCTGAAAGACCTTAATGCACTGTTCACAAACAAGGAATCTGCAGGCTCCTCTTGAAAATCAGTGTATTGAGATGGCTGCAAGAAGACAATGTAGGCGAGTACTCCTCTCATTACTGGGTTTTGAGGTGCTGGAGTCTCTTTCTAGAAGTGGTTTCTAGATTCTTTCTGTCCTGAGCAAAAAATTGATCAAGACAACACAAAAGGTAGCAAGGTTTTACATTTATGAAAGCTAGGAAAAGAAACAGGGTCCACGAGGGAATTTGAGCCTAGTAAAAGGAAAAGAGGTACACTGTACAGTATGAGGGTGGACTACTGTGAAAGAACACAAGAGTGGAGAGCTCAATGGCAACTGTCATTTTCATATCACCCACTCCTCAGGGTGATGTCAGGTCTAGGCTGTCCTATCTCAAACTGCTTGAGCTCTCGCAAGAAGTCCACATCTAGGGCTTTGAGAACTGTTCTACGCATGTGTCCTGGAATTTTGTAATTAACAGATCACACCCCTTCCCTGGCCTGTTTGCCACACTCTAGTCTCCTGTCTCACTCCCCCATCTGCTTGCTAAATCCCTGTTCATCCCCGAAGTTCAAGAGCAGATCTCATCTGTGAGGCCTTCTCTCGGAAGCCCTACCTTGCAGGCCAGTGTGGAACTTTTCTGTGCACATCTCCAGCCCCGGTGCATCCTTTAATATGGCTTACTTCTCACTGCATCCTAGGCCTCTGTGTTTCCTGTCCATCCTTCCCCAGCAGCCAGTGCTTTTTTTTATTTTTGGTACCAGGGATCGAACTCCGGTCCTTGCGCTTGTGAGGCAGGCAGCAGAACCACTGAGCTAAATCCCGAGCCCTCTAGTGCTTTTTGATGAAGGACTTGTCTCTTCATTAGTCTAGGTGGTTTCTTTTCCTTATCCATTCAGTCACAGTTTTATCCAAGTGTGACATTTGAGTGGGGTAGGGAGCAGTTGTACATAGTCAGCTCTGTATGGTGGGCTCTGTGTCTCATCTTCCTCAGTGTTGTAATCCAAACAAGCTGGAATCCGTGGAGGTATCCAAAGGCCATCTGGCGTTTAGTTTCTTGTCTTGGCAGATCCCTCATGTATCAGTCACTTCCAGTGTTCAAACTTCCTTGTCATGTTTGCCATGCTCGGGGCCCATGCTGGAGTGTGGTGACCCTGTCTGTCTGTCTGTCTGTCTGTCTGAGGTCCATTGTCCCAGACAACCCCTGCAGCCATTCTCCTTCTGTGTTGTGAATGTGTCTGTTCAGACCCATGCCTCAATCTCCCCTTGCTCTGCTGCAGAGTGGCTAACCCATGTCCGCGAGATTCCAAGTTGAGTTTGGTGCTCGTGAGGTATTTGTGAGTTCACAGAAGGGATCCTCCCTTTTTTGCATCATCATTAGCCCTGTTTCCTTTATGGTCTACCCCTCTAAAGAGGACTGCTGTGGTTTCAGCTTCTCTTGGTGACCTTGAGCCCCAGGCTTCAGTAACACCATCTCTTCCCATTGTCCTTCCAGCATAGGGACAGTAGTGACTTCCTACGGCTGTTAATCTCTTGACTGTGCCATTATCCCATTTCTCTACTACAATTGTAGCCAATTCCCTGTTAAAATTAAAATTCCTCATTTTTTAATACTCAGTAGTTTCTGTTTTCCACGTTGGATCTTAACTGATAAAATTAAACACACAGATCTCTGATGTCTTATTGCTGTTTTCAACCCTTCCAGGGGATGGTGGAAAGGGTTCTCATTTAATTTTACATCCCCAAACCTACCCAGAGGGTCCCACTTCCTCCCCACAGAGGAGACTGGAAGGTCCTGTTTGGGGCCACAGCAGCTCCTTCTTTGTTTCCCTCTGGGTTCACCTTCCTCTCCTCCTCTGATCCTCCCTCTCCTTTTCTTCTTCTTTCTTCTCTCCTCCTTTCCTCCCTTCCTGTTTTTGCTCCTTCCGTTTACTCTTGGCATAGATTCTTTATCTAATCTAAGAGTAGAAAAAAATGGTTCCATGCTTTCAGAAAATGTTATGCTCTAAGTCTTTTAGGGCTTAGGCTTTTGAAGCTTAAAAGTGCAGGATTTTTTTTCTCTCCTGTGTTCTTCTGTAAGAATCTCCCACTGACATGTGGGAGTAGAGTGTCCAGCTGTTGTCTGAAGGGTCATGGGGTCACAAGAAGTACAGCATCAAAGCATATAATAAAATATCAGGATTTAATTCTGCCACAGCACTTATCACAAGCTGCAATGCCCCGTGGATACTTGCTGAGTATATGGAGTGAAGGCTAAATCCTACGTCTTGAGTTTTTTAGCATTTAGGGAAATTTATTTCCAAAGACCGTACTGAGGACAAGTTAAAAATTTAGGAATATAGCTCCCATGTTCCATTCTCTGTTTTTAGTTTATTCTAAAATATATACATAATTTCAGAGAGCTGTAAATAGACAGCCATTATTTTCTGCTAAATGATTAGAAAATAAATTTTCTGAAGGTTGTTGTTTTCTTCCTCTGAGTCACTTAAATTCTGATCTAAAAGGCAAATGATTGACATAACATTGCTACAACAGCTGTGAAAGTTAACCTCAAACAGTCAAATTAGGATGAGTCAGGCCAGTTTCAAGCTGGGCCATGAAACACCAGCTTGAACCAAAGTTTTGATGAAGTGCAAATTTGATTGCAGGCTTAACATTCAGAATTTAAATACTGGAACGTTGCACATACACACCACAGATCAAAAGTGACCAGTTGTGCCTTTTGGCAGAAAATTTCTTATGTTTTCTAATAATTATGTTCATTTTTCATTTCTTCTCTGTGAGTTTTCAGTTAGAAGTGCACTACTGATGTAGTAACAGATATCCTGACCCTATTGTGCTTAGAGCTGAGGATGCAACATGGTCTCTCCTCCTAGCACCTACATTCTGGTGTGGCAAATGTTTGCAAAGTGTGATGGGGGTGGGAAATAAGGAGATCAGCCTTCCCTACTCAGAAGGTTGAGGAAGACCATATGCTTCAAGAGAAGGAGAGAGGGGGTGTGTTGCAAACCAAGGAAACAGCCTGCCCCCAAACACAGAAGTTTCACAGTGTGGTGACATCAAGAAATCCATACACTTGGGTATGGGTGGATCATGAGGAGATAGTGAGAGATGTTGTTTGCAAAGGTAGACAGGGGCCAGGTATCTTTGGAAAGCTTTGATCTTCCATAGCTTTTAAAAATATCTAATGAAATGAAATGTTATTCATTGCCTTCCTGCCCCAAGGACTATTTAAATATGGGTTATATGGGAAATGTTTTCCATGTATATGGGAAAATGTTTTCTGCTCGTTGAGAGAATTATGCTTTACTCAAGACCACAGGACCCACAATCAAGGCAGTTCACTCTGTTGCTTATGTTGCCTTGGTCACCGCCATATTTGTAGTTCAAAGAAAAAATGAGTCAGACCAATGTTCCAGATGGTATGCTTAGGCAGTGGTTTAAGGAGACTCTGTCATTTACCCAGATTTCAGAATTTGTATTATAAGTTTTGAAGTCATGGTTACCTATTGTTTAGGCCATGCCCTGGAGTGCCCCCCATTAGAATGTGAGATCCATGAGCCATGAGATTGGTTCCATTCACTGCTGTTCTCCCAAAAGCCTAGAGTAGCAGGACTTGATAAATACCCATTGCCTGAAGAAGCAAGTGCTAGACTTTTTGGTTAGGAAATGTGACCTGTTCTCTACAGACAAATTTGAAAGAGTAGGTGCGGGTAATTTAAATATAGTGTAGCAGGTGAGTGACAGAGGGAAGCAGAGGACAGAATCTCTTAACTGAGAGATCCTCAGTGAAGGAGCATGCAGATACGTGCTTGTTCAAGGAACTCTGTGCTGCTTAATCCTGATAAGATACACTATGGGGCAAAGATGTCCCTGAGGGAATTTCATGCTATGCCAAGCAGGATGGACTTGAACCAATAGATGAGGAAGCAGGGCTTAGAGGTAGTAAGCCTCTTATTGTAGATAGATTATGTGACTGTTCTCTGGGTGATAGATTGGGGGAGAAAGACTGGAGGCAGAGAGACCAGTAAGAGGTATTTTAGTAGTTAAAACTAAAAACAAGGAATTCTTGAAGTAGGTCAGGTTAGGACTACTCTGGAAGGGACTTATTCAAGAATACATAATAAGTACAATGTGAAGGAGTTGGTGGTTGATCAATTGTGGAGAAATAGGATCTAAAGGTAGGATGGAAAGATGATAATGATTTTTAAAATCTGGCTTTCAGTGGATGGAGTTCCTACTTCAGAAAAGTTATGTAGTGTAAGAAAAGAAACATGTTTTGAGGAAAAAGATTATTTCAGTTTTATCAGATTGAGTTAGAATCTATACCATATTCAGGCCAAAGGCTGGGAAAGAGATGGTGACTGGAGCTGCAGACGGGGTAGCCATTATGGAGGTGTGACATTGGCCATGATCCTCAGGAGGGCCATTGAAGGTGAGAAGCAGTG